TTTGGTAATCTGTTGTTAGGGATTAAGGATTGGCACGCCTTCTTGAAGAATTGCCCTCCTCGACTAGACCAGAGGAATATTGACTGAGAATATCAAGTATGTTTGGGCTTTTCAAAGAAGTTTAAAATATATTATCTTTAAAATTAATAAAAAGAACAAATATTCTATTATTTGAGGATAATTAATGTTTACTGTTTTCTAGAAAAAATGTTTGAGAAAACCAAGTGTCAGACTCTCACTCTCTTCTTCTTTTATTATTTCCCAAGCCTCAGAATAGGGAAAACGGCAAGAGGAGAAACCATAGCATAGTTAGAGGTAAGTTTCTACAAGTTTCAACTGAGTTTCAAAGCCTGATCCATTCCTTCTCTTCCACAAGGTTCCATGTCCACAATCTCTGAAGATGAGGAGATAGTTGATAGATATAGTTGTTAGCTAAAAAAACAAAACAAAACAAAAACCAACCCTCAGAGAGAGGATCCTGGGAAGGCAACGACAACCTCGGACACTTTTCAGGTCCTGCACAGGCCTAGATTGTTGATTAGTAGATGTTGTTCAAGATGTGAGTGTATTCGAAGCCTAGAAAGGACTAATTGGGTATTTGAGAGTCAGAAATCTGTTTCTTGGATTATATTTTAACTTCATGCTGCCCAGGTTCCCTTACCTCTATCTCTTCCACTGTTGTTTATGGCATCATATGAGAAAAAGAATGTTGAAGGACTGCGCATATGATAATGCAACATACCTATATAAACTTTGTTACTGTCATTGACCAGTTTGTAGCTTATTTCCTTGATATCTCAAGTCCATTACTAAAGGAATATTTTTCAATCTCCTATAAGACATTTTTACTTTTACCTTCACCATTCTTTTTTGCTTGACTCTCCAGGTTCCCTAGGGCAGAGAAGCTGCCAGAGAGAAGTAGAAGAGACAAGAAAATTGCTTTCTATTTTCAAGAGGTGAGTAAACTCTACTGTATTTTCTGTTTCCCTCTTTATAGTATGAGTTAAGCCATTTGAGGGTCTCAGTAAGTTAAAATGGTATTATCAGGAGAGAAAAAACAATAAAGGAGTATGAGTTTCCTACAAGGAGGAATAAAAGCCGTATTGCATAACTAGGGTCATAGAGACTATGAAAGGACAATATTCTGAAAATGCCTTCACTTTCCCAGGCTCTCATGTCTGTTCTGTCCTGTCTACAACCGTGTTCCTCCTATCTTTGCAGCCCCCTGAACCAGGGATATGATATGATCCGCTTATGTAAAATGCTATGTCCAGAAGCCTCCTGTGAAGTATGTAACAGAGAAACAGCTGAGGTCAGTCAACTGCTGTTTAGAGGGACTGTGAAAGATTCTGCTCCTGACGTGTCCTGTTTGGCTTCGATAACACCTGTAACAAAATCAACTTCCACCCTAGCAAAGCCTCCAGAAGACCAAAGGCCAGCCTCTCCACCTGAACCCTCTGTACTGCTCTCTTCCAATCCCTCACATGACCCGATCAACAACTTGATTCTTTCACCCACAAAACTGGGTGACTCTCTCCCAACAGAACTCATTCCCCCCCTTAGATTCCATATCGTCAATGGACCATTTTCCACCTCAACGTCCTACCTTCTCCCCACCCCCTTCACATCACAATCAGAGAGTGGATCAGGTTCTAAAGCTAGATCCTGCTTTGTCTCTGAACACAGTCTCCTCATGTGACTCTGCCCAATCTCAAGATATTAACCCCTCGCCTTGCTTTTCCCAACCAAAGCTGGGTTCACCTCAAGAAGACTGTACTTTAACAAAATCTAAATTAATACAAATCACCCAGAAACCTGTTCCTGACGGCTTATCTCCAGTGAAGCCTGGTGAGTTGGCCTATTATAAGCCTACACTCACAGGTGGTGACCATTCCAGCTTCTCTATTTCAGAAATCTCCACTTTGCAGACCAATGCCTTCCCCACATTATTCCTTTCTACACTACCACATTGTGATATTCCACAAGGACACGTTTCCCTCTTTCAATCAGAGACCTATCTGTGGGAAGACTTTGCAAGCAAGCCCATGAAGTTTGGTGGTCTTTCTTCCCTTGGCCATAATATCCATTCACTCTTGGAGAGACAAATCAAAAGAAGAATGGCCCTTATGAGTTTAGAGGATAAAGATAAGGATAAGGGGCCATTTCCAAAGCAAATGTGGTCTGAATACTCACTGACATCTTCACGGAATTCACTGCTGCCATTTGCTAACGCCTTGGACACCACAGACTCGGAAAACAGCTGGAATACAGAAGGCAAAGCAGAGCAGTTGTGTGCTTGTCAGCAGCTCCTATACATCATGAGCTTCGGGGAAAATGTGCAGGAGAAACATAGCCAGTTTTTCTGGGGTCTCCCTTCTCTGCATAGTGAGTCACTAGTAGCAACTGTCTTGGTATCTGGTAGCTATTCTCCACTGGAGTCTCCTTTTGTTTTATTCAATAGAATCTGTGATCCTCTCACTGTCCAAACGCAGGACAAAGAACTGCCACAGCATCCTAAGACTCATGGCCTTAGCCTCCCCAGTGTCCATTCCCAGCCGTTTGACCCTGCGCAATCCCATTCCAAACCACTGTATCAACTTCAACCTATGATTCAGCCCCAGGCTCAAGTTCAACCCTCGTACTCTAACCTACCCACTTCTTCATCAAACCATTTTCGAGCCTGTGGGGTGTGTGTCCATGGGACCAAGAATAAAGGCAATTCTCACTCCTCTGTCAAATGTGAAAACCTAGAATGGCATTTGTTGAAAAAGCAACAGGAAAGTTTTTGGGGCTTAGCCTCTATGCGCCAAAGACCTCAAGAAACTTCTTATCCTCGAGCTCCCAATTTTCAGATGGTCAGCCGGCCCTCCCAGACCTGTGTACCAGTCCCTATCATTCCTGAGCCAGTCCCTATCACCAATGAACCCAAGGAGCAACTAGCACTCCACATGCCACATGAGTGCCTCCATGCCCGTAGGGAACAAAAGTCCCTTGCTCTGATGCAACCTGGGTACAAATTGGTAGAACCAGCTGAACAGAAACACCCACACGCTCACTCAGAATACTCTGTGTTTAAGAACCAGAGAAGTAAGGATCTGGAGGAGACTGAATTGAGTTCCTCCAGGATTTCCCTTGACTGGAATTCGGCGATGTTTCTTCCAAAGAAGGACACTGGAAATAGACTTGAATACAGGCTGGAAAATGGCTCAATAGACATAGACGAGACATCAAGAGTCTCCGAACACGATTTCATGAAAGGCCCAAATGCTCTCTCTGAGGAGATTAAAGATGAAAGTGTATGTCACTCAAAGAAAGATTCAGAAAATAAATTCCTAAATATTTCAAAAGAAAACATAGAAGAGGACAAGATGAAAAAGATTCTAAAATTACACTTAATTAAGAAATTTTGGCAGATCAATGAATGCAGGATTCCTTTAATTGTATGTCATTCATGGCTTGCTGATGACGGTACATTACGTCTTTCTGGGAGTTCTCATGATAATTTTGAACATGGAAATGAGGGACAATCAGTGGGTAGAGAATATTGCCAGTCTCCCACTCTGGATACCACATCTCTTGATCCTATCACTCAACAAATGCTAGAAGCCCATATTGTAAGATTTCGAATGAATCAGAAATGGGGCCTGCCTCTCAAGGTCCATGAATCCATAAAATTCTATACACTAAGAGAAGCCAAATCATGGCCTCTTCCCCAATTTGAATTACCCTCTTCAACATACCAGATTTCTGCGAAGGCTCCCAAAGCCATAATTTCCCAATCCTTTGAAGTAATCTCTCAAGATTTACCAGAAGACAAATTGTTACCAATAAAATCAGTCTCCACAAAAGATTGTCTTCTCTCTGCTGTCTCACCTGTAGATAAGGAAGAGCAAAAGACCCTAAAACCTTTTGACAGTGATCAGATACTTCCACATGGCTTTCAGACAACTGAGGATGACAAGCAGGATTTATTTCCCCTCAAACAAAGTATCACACACAGAAGGCTTCACAGTGAGCCCATTACACTGAGTAGGCAGAACTCTGAGGTGAATATAAGTGAAGATGACTCAAGACATGAGTTGAAGGATAAGCATGTGAGTTTCAAGGGCGAAGTAGAAATGTTTCAGGAGACTATGACAGGAGAGGAGAATTTAGAACATGTTCCAGTGACAAACCTGTGCAGGGAGATAGTAAAGGCTGAGGAGTTCTTTGGTCATCAATCATCATCTTGTGATATTTTGACAACCAGAGAGCTGGGAAATGCACAAATAACAAACATGAATATGAGTAAAGTAGGAAATGCTTTAATTAAAGAAGTCTCAATATTGCCAAGAATGTCAGTTTCCTGCCATCCTGAGCTATTACAACTTGAAAAGCAGCTGATGAATGAATTAAAGTTGAAATTTCATGGCCAGAGTCAGGTTGAAAGCTGTTCCACTAACACCCCTTTTGCCTCAACTAGATTTCCTTCCACTGCATGCCCAATTCATGATCAGAAAGTCCCCTGTGTGCTTATGGCATCTTTCCCAGACCTGCATGTCCACAGAAGAGGCAAAATTATCCGCATGGAAGAGAGGCAGAAACTCTCAAACTGTAAGCATGTCTTAGAGGAATGCCAGATTAAAAACTTTACACCTACTGACAGAAAAGTGACCCATCAGGGACCTAGGTTAGGACAGTATAGAACAAATAATTTAGGATTAGAGATATTATCTAAATCAAGAGGGAAAGACCACCTTGCCCAAACCAAGAAATTGGAGACTAAGAAATTAGACTCCCCCGTAGTCCTATCACAGAAGGAAGAGAGTCCTGAAGAAAATTTCTTCAGAAAAAAGGTAAAGCAACTTTTCCAGTGGATTTATTCCAAGCGGAAGTACAGTGTCTTCCAAAAATCCAATATCCTGCTGACCCCTGCACAGTGCCAAGACCCACTGGACTCTGGGTCTGATGAAGCTCAGGAGCTCATGGCAGTCATTGGGAAAATGCTGGAGGAGAAACTAGGATGCAGAGAAGGGTTTCATCACGAGACAGAAATGCAAGTCCATGTCGAGTCCACTGATGGGCCTTTCTCCAATATCAGGGCTCTCTCCACTCCAGAACAGAGGGAAAGATCCAGTACCAACGTTGGCAGCCAAAAAGCTGTACCTAAAGGCCACAGTTGCCATTCAAGAGAAAGACAGATCAGAAACAAGAACAGACATCTTCAGCAAACAAAGGGTTTTCACAACCACCTAATATCTCAGAGTTACTGTTCCATCCCAAACCCTAGGGAGTCTGTGTGCCATGGATACCACCTCCACAATGCATCAAGTATGCCAAGTACCTGAAGCAGTCTTCCTCACTGATGGGGACATTGTGTTTTGAAATCTATCTTGTCTCTCAAGACAGAAAATGCTTCTACAACAATTCCAAGAAGGAGCAAGCTCCCCTCAAAAATAATTGATTCTTCTTGAAGAATTTTTGAATATTTTTTTACAGTACATCTCTGATCTGAGCAGTCTTGCAGAATATTGAATAGTCAACAGAAAATTGATCCTTTCCAATAAAGATTTCTTTCAATATGTGAGTTGTGTCTTCTCTGTGTTCTGTTTAGGCTTTTAGTAGCCTGAGGCTTGTACTTAGAAAAGGAAGGAGTTAGTTCAGCTCTTATTGTTTGCCTACATTTTGGCATCTCAAAGGTGACTAGTCCTTTGGAGGGAGCTGGGACAATATCAGCTGACACCTATCCAACACTCTTTTATTTGACCCTGTATTGAGGACATGTAAAATTAGAATATTTTTTAAAAAATAATGTTAGTATAAAAAATAGAAAAAGTGTATTGTAAAATCACTGAGATCTTTTCAAAAAGAGAAAAACCTCTTCAAGTCCAATATTTGTTTCAATTCTCTTTTAGCCTGCTTATTCATTTATTAGCCCCTCCTACACTCAACTGTGATGTGAGAGGGTTTTTCTCGATCTTTATTGAGCAAGAAATCCTTCTATGACCTCCAGCAAGGTTTCCCCCGCCCCCACACTGGAAGTATGCAGATGTTTGACGTTGAGGTGAGAAGTAGGAGGACATAATAACTTTGGATCTCTTGGTGAATAAAAAAAAAATAACTACTCTCAAGTGCTTCTTCTCTCTGTCATGAATTTTGAGAAGATAGGACATGTTCCCTAACTTAGGTATTACTGAGGAGGATAGTCCAGGTCCCCCCATAGAGAGGGACTTGAAGACATATACACATACTAGAATGCAAAGGAAGCTTCACTTAATTAGCCATGAAAGAGCATGGATCTGGACCAAAACAGTTAGTGGCCTAGGAAAGCTGAAATCATGCCTTTACAAGAAACTCTTTTACACAGAGGGTCATATACATTCAATGGGAAAGGATATACTGATTGAAATGAGACTTTGGCGATGAGGAAGATGTAGCCATCAGGCTTGCAATCCACGGAAAAGAGGTGACACCCTCTGCGTGTTCAACAGGAAAGTCTTCATCTGAGGACTGGTCACTAAGTCAGTCTCCTGGTACTGAATGGTATTCCTGCACTTGTCTGATGAGCCAAATGCAGACAAAACAGACTGAAACTTGTTAGGACTGGATAATTGTTGGAATCTTCCCTTTTACCGCTGCCTTTAGAGAAACCAAATCTGGAAAGATATACCTTTAGATGTTAAAAGTGATTGATTTGAGGGTTGGAATCAGAAGTCTTATTTTTTAAAAGCTCCTGGAGCCTTAGTGGTAAGGAACTGTGCTACCAGCCCAAAGGCATGTGTTTCAAATCCACCAGGTGCTCTGAGGAAGAAAGATGGGTAATCTCTCCCATTGATAGTATTTACTGCCTTCAAAAGTCTGCTGGAGGGTCAGCTATGAGCTGGTTCTGACTTGGCGGCACACAACATATGAAAACATAATCACAAGAGGAACTCTATTCCAATTTTTGGGAAGAAAAGCATGCCTATAGTTTCTATCTAAAATAGAAACAGACCTGTAATAGTTCCTCCATAAATGTATGAATCCTTTTCTGAGTAATATAAACAGATAACAGAAAATGAAATATTCTACCCTTCATAATGGCTGCTGTCTGTCTACTGGAGCGCTTCACATCCTGCTGTTCTGAGGCTCACAAGTAGGGACAAACGGTCAGATAACAGAAAATGAAATATTCTACCCTTCATAATGGCTGCTGTCCTGTCTACTGGAGCGCTTCACATCCTGCTGTCCTGAGGCTCACAAGTAGGGACAAATGGTTCTGCCTCTGCCCTCTTCCTCTCTGTTTACTCACAGTCTTCCCTGATTTTGCCTGGGGTTTCCATGAGCCATTCCTAGTGAGAAAGAACAAACAAATTCCTTCCATGTGATTTACAGTTTGGAAAGCTCAATGGAGGGTGAAGTGTGAGTTAATTCCTACTTGAAGGCATTGAGTTTTAATTTGACCTGCATAGTCAGAGACAGTGACTGTTTCACTTAGCACGGGGGCTGACTGACACCTTAACGTCTGCCCTCGCAAGTGCAATATACTCAAACCGTGGGTTCTCTGCGGGTGTCCAGACCCATTTACTGACTACGTTGAGGCTCCCGTGCTCGTTCATTACAACTCAGCACAACTTCATGGGACAGATCGGCATTAGCCGAGATCTTCATCAGTAAGTAACATGCAGCAGGCAGTACTCAGTGTAGTCTCGATATTGTCAGGACTGCCAGTTAATACCATCAGAGCCCATAGGGAAGAGCAGGTCTGCCAAAGGCTGGGCTAGGTGACCGGCCTGGAGACCCTTCCAAGCTCGGCTTTGGAGAAGAAAATGATGGGTAGAGAGGAAAGGGTGGTGGGGAACACTCAAAGTCCAGAAACTTTCACCAGAGAAATCTCAACTCTTGCTGTTTTGAAGAGATAGTGAAGAATCCAGAAGCCTGAAGTATTCACAACCACCAGTGACATCCATCAGAAACCCAGTATCAACCGGCTTGGTTTACTCTGCACACAGCTCTGGTCCATATAAACACAGCTGCATGTGCAGGGGATTCTGGGCCCAGACTTTGTCCCACAAGGCTCCATCCCAGATCCCGCCTTGCAACTGGAATCATCTCTCACATGACCCCCTCCCACAATTGCCCTGCAGGTGGCCCCACTCCAGGTCCTGCCCGGCATGTGACACTGCCCCAGGCTCCTACCTCCCCATGGCATGGACCCCAGACCACACCCTGCATGTGACCCCAAGCTCCGCCCTCCGCGTGGCCCTGTCCACAGAAGCTACACATTTATGAGATTCGGCTTCCTGAGCCCCCCTGTACTTGGCTCTGATCCCAGAGGATTCCTGCATGTGACCCCACTCCCAGACCAGAGTTTTGGATGTAACTGGTTGATGGTGGGCACAGAGCAGTAACTTTAATGTCTCTTTCTGGAAGGCCAGTTATCAGAAGCTGACAGAGATGGGTGAAAACGGCTATGAACTGAAACCTGTAAAGCAAGGATAGATCCCCAGTTTGGAAAAGCTAAGGAAGCATACGGTGTGGCTAATGAAAGAAATGTGGAAGTTTGCATTGGTTTTCTTTCCTATTCTTAAAAAAAAAATCTTAGTTGGTTTGTTTCTGTACTGCTCATGATTAAAGTTGCCATTCGTTAGCTTGTAACTCCATCCAGCAGCACCAAGTCAGAGTGGAGAAATACTAGAAAAAGCAGATTGGAGAGTGAATTCACAAAAGTCATATAAATTCTTGAGCAAAGGGAGGTTTGCTTATTTCCTTGATTGGTGTTTTTCTAAGTATATATAAGGCACCTAAAACCTAGTCAGGAACTCTGGTGGCATGGTGTACTACTGGGCATTGGAAATTTTAAAAAAACTCAAAAGGTCATGGATTAGAATCCATGAGACATTCTTCAGGTAAACTCTTGTGTAGATTTACAGCCTTGGAAAGCCGATAGAGGGCCCAAAAGTAGGAACCATATGCTTGGTCATATGGTTTTGATCTAAGAGAAACTAATCCTTCTCAGAAAGTAGGTCTAGAAAACTAGAGAATTGGATTGTCAGGCAAGAAAGAAATCAAGAATGGGATAGGCCATTTGGAATAGAACTATGTCACTGTCTGGTTGTGATGGATCCTGAACTGCAGAGAAGAGGTTAGCTGAAGAACAGGGAGAAAGTGTAAAGCCTGATGGCTGATAGGTCATGATGAGAATGAAGAACAGGTACCTTGAGGTCATAAGGTAGAAGCAAAAGAGAATGAGGCCAAAGGGCGAAATGCCAGACTGCTATTTCAGAAGGCAGAGTCATTTCTGGTGATGAATTCTAGCACGTGGCCATAGCTTACATTAATGGAGGTAAAGGACTCTAAGAGGAGATGGAGACAGTGAGGCCAGGTGGTTGCTCACTGTGGCTCTCACAGATTCTCTCCACCTCAGGTTCTCTGCCCTGATCCCATCCCACTCTTACCCTTCTGGGGTCTCATTAAATATAGGTCACTTTTCAGTGCAACTTTATTACATAAAAGAGAGTGAAGACACTTTTTATATATCAGACATGGTGGTGACATAGTGGATACAGTCAGTCATCTGCTGAAAAGTGCTGTTCAGATTCATCTGTTATTCTGTGGGATATGTATTTGGTAATCTTTTATTTTAAATTAATCAAACTTTAAGCCTCCACTTTAAAGAACAGGAAGACCCCTTTTATTATTTCATCCATCTAAATGAAATAGGAGAGTGGGGTGGAGCTCCCAGATTAAAACAAGCTTGGAAGGGGGAGTGGTATCCACTTCCATAGTAGCTTGCCTCCGAAAACCCTATGAACCTGGAGAGAGGATGAAAGGCACCGAAGCATCGAGGACTTTCCTTCATAGGGTCACTATGAGTTGCCTGCAACTCGATGGCACTTCACAACAACAACAACAAATGAAATAGACCATCAACTACACATATGTACGTTCAATTTGAAGTTGAAAAAATATGAAAACGAGTTCATGAAAACCAAGTGTGACTTTGAGTCTATCCCACCTAAATTTAAAAATCATATCAAGAATGCATATCCATGTTTATTGTGGCTATGTTCACAGTAGCAAAGAGCTGGAAACAATCCAAGTGTCCATCAACAAACAAATGCATAGAGAAGCGCTGGTATTTTCACACAATGGAATACTATGCTGCACTGAAAAATAAGGAACTCATGAAATATTATGCAAAATGGATGACCCTGGAGGACATTATGCTGAGTGAAATATCTCAGTCACAAAAGGACAAATATTACATAGTGCCACTGTTGTAAAATGGGACTGACATCAGGGTTGAGGGAAGACAGAAAAGGAAGGAAGGAATGATGTATATTTCACTGAAACAGATGAGGGAGAGATCTGATTAAAAGGATATGTGAATGGGTATTCTTTTCATTACAGAAGTCCAGAGAGAAGGATGCATAGTAGAGTGAACTTGGGGGGAGGGATTGCATAACAATGAAAGAGTTTTTCTTTTCAAGGAGAAGAGTGATTTCAGGGTGAGGGTGGGCAGGGAGAAAAGTGAAACAATGAATGACTGGGAACCCTAAGTCTCTGTAAATTTTTATTAAAATTAATTTAAAAAAATCATATCAAGAACATTTTATTCACTAAGCATCACTGACATCAAGGATCTCATAAATTAATGCAAAAGGTCTTTACAAGGGTAAGGAAGAAAGAAAAGACCAAAATGTAAGTCTGAAGAGACTCTGAAATGAAACCAGAATGGAAAGAAGTGAAAAAACAAGAGCAAGGAATGCTGAAGAAATAAAGCTGAACAGAAACTTCAAAGGGTAACTCTAGAAAGCAAAATACTGTGATGTAATTTGTAAAGAATTGGAGAAGGAAAAACAAATATTAGGAACACGCTCAACATTTCTCAAACTTAAAGACCTGAAAAAACACATTCAAGTCTTGACTTTCAAAATAATGAATGATACGGGAAGCATGGAAGATGGAAGAAACCTAGTCACTGCACCAAAAAGAATTGGTGGGTACTGAACCACTTTAGGTTGTAGCATACAACCAAGAAATGGATGGATGGAGCGATTGGTAAAGGGGAATGGTCTGGTGTAAAAAACAATGTATATGAACTTTATGAACTTTCTATGTATACTAGTATTAAATAATTTTTAAAAATAAACAATGGGACATAAGGAAGAAATTGAAGCTTCACAAAGACTTGGGGCAGGGGGAAGGGGGTGGAGCAGAATTAAAAGACTCCAAGAATTAAGGGATTAGCTGTTAAGGTGTTTCAGGAATCAGATGCAACCATCATAAGATAAATGCCTGGCTAACTGACTACACTTATTTGTTCCCATTCCAAGTAAAGGTGACCTTAACAGAGTGCACAAATTAGGGAACAGTATCATTTATTGTCACATATAAAATTTTGCTGAAGATTATGCAAAAATGACTGGAACAAGAAATCACCAGTGAACTACAAGAAATTCAAGCTGGATTCAGAAGGGAACATGGAAAATTATTATTGCAGATGTCAAATGAACCTTGATTAAAGCAGAGAAAACCATAAAGACATTTCCTTTTGTTTTACTGATTATCCAAAAGCATTTGGTTGTGTAGATCTTGGGAAACTGTATCATGCTGATAGAAGTGGAAGGTCAGAGAAAAACAGATCCTCACCATGATGGATTGAAATGGTGACTGTAACAATGGGTTTGAGCATCACTGTGAGGTTGGCATAGGATGGGGTTAGATCTATTCATAGAATTGCTGAGTCAGAGAGAGAGTTCTGTTGGCCTAGTAGATAGAAAGTTATGCTACCAAGCCAAAGGTGAGTGATTTTAATCTGTGGCCCTCAGGCCTGGTTTTAATCGTTTTTGGTCAGTCTTCTAAGTGGAATAACACTGGTCTGTCCATTGGCAGAGTAAGGTAACTCGTGGTTGCTGTGATGCTAAATACTGTGACACTCAAGTGTCAAATGAAGAACTATTATGCATGATGGACAGTGTTTGGTGGAACTCCCAGATTAAAACAGGTTTGGAAGCAGGAGTGGCATCCACTTCTGAAATAGCTTGCCTATGGAAATTCTATGAACTCAGAGAAACGATGAAAGTTATACAAGTGTTCAGGTCTTTTGTTCATAGGGTCGCTATGAGTTGTTGATAACTCGACGGCACTTAACAATTTAAAATAATGAAAATTTCACAATACTTAACTGTGCTCTATACGCCCGTATTAATTGTCAAATTTTTAGATGCATAAGAATTCAAAAGATTGGATCAGGTGTAACTTTGTATTTCAACCGACATCACTGTTCTTTAGAACTTGAGAGAAGTTCCTGACAGCAGATAGTCCCAATGTAGCACATCTTTTGATTTCTTGACTGCCAGTACCAAGGGTAGTGACTGCAAATCTCAGCAAGGTTAAATCATTGACAATTTCCACTTTTTCTCCATCTGCCATGATATTAGGGAGCTCGGCTGGCCTAGTAGCAAGAAGCTGCACTGCAATCCTGAAGGCATGCAGTTCCAGTCAGCTATGGGTTGGCGACAGTACACAACCACCATGACCTTGCCTATTAGCCTAGTGGTGAAGATGTTTGTCTTATGTTGAGATGTAATCTATATTAAAGGCTGTAGCATTTGATCTTCTGCAGTAAGCATTTCACCAACCAATGTTGTGTCATCTGCGTAACTTTTCCGATGCAGACGCAACATTTTTAAATAAAATCCAGCATCTCGAAATTTCTCAGCATACAGATTAGTTATAGAGAATGGATACAGCCCTGCCACACTTTTTCTGATTTTAAATAATGAAGTGTTTCCTTGCTCTGCTTAGCCAACAGCTTTCTGGTCTAGGTATTAAGTGTTCTGGAATTTTTATTTTTTGTTATCCATAATTTGTTATGATTCATATGGTCAAAGAGACATCCTCTGGCTTTCTCAGCTTTCAGCCAAGATTTATCTAACACCAGCAATGATATCCCTATATCCCTAGTGCCATGGCCTCTTCTAAATTAAGTGTGAATTTCCGGCAGTTCCCAGCCAATGTGCTGCTATGCATTTTTTTAAAATCTTTAGCAAGATTCCATTTGCATGTGATACGATGTTGTTTGATAAATTCCACATTCTTTTACCTTTAGAATGGGAACAAATACGGATCTCATCCGGTCAATTGATCAGGTAGCTGTTTTCCAAATTTCTTGACAGACTTGTGAGCACGTCCAAGCTTGCATCTGTTTGGTGAAATATGTCAATTTGTATCCCATCAATCCCTGTGGCCTTTTCCCCTAATGCCTTCAACGAAGCTCAAACTTC